TTCCATAAGGCGAACTAACCGTTATTCGAAATAACAAAGCGCGGTCGTTTCGTTTAGAAAATCCGCAATGAAAGACGGAACGCGAATAACGTTTCTCGCATGTTTTATTCATGATCCAACGATTTAGTGGATTACAAACAAGTTTACTTCGATATTAACACGGCTGTTGTAGCTCAAATTCGCTTCGAAATTTCCGGTGTTCGTAACAGGTTTTAATTGCACGCGAGATTCTGCTAACTCATTAACGCAAACGATAACAAGGCCGATATATCTTAAACGAAAAACCGCCAACTATAAAACGGATTTTGCAATCGCCCATCGTTTGTCGACCGTTTTCGAAGAATCTTACGACACGTTTGTTAGCCTCGTTTATCTTCGGATGGGCGACAATCTGACGACGATCGAGCTCGAAGCTCGTTATATAAAAATTGTCGCGAGAATTCCTCGGCATTCTTGAGCACTTTCGAGTGTTCTTAAGTCCACATGTTGAATTACTAAGCGTATTTCACTTCCATGATCGAGGTTATCTTCCCAATCATACAGAGATGGTCAGCGATTTCGAAGCAGTGTAGTTTAGTTCAAAATTTCAGATTCATCAGCCAAGAAGAGCGGCGAGACAAGGATCGAAGTTGAACGGGACGCAAAAATAGATCTGGAGCATCTTTTCGTTACTCTCTCTCTCTCTCTCCCTCTCTCCCTCTCTCTGTTTCAGCTCCTCCGCTTTCGCGGCTGTTTTCCTTTTTCTTTGGCCATGGTAGCCTCAGTTTCGTCGTTCAATTTCTGAGAGTCACCACGGAATCACGATCGAGAAAGCTGGCAGAGAAATCTCCGATTAAACATTTGTCGAACGCGACTGCGTTCCACCTGTCCTTTTAATTATAACTTGTTCGTGTTGACTTTTTCTAGAGAATAAACAGAAAAAGAAAGAGGAGTAGGAAGACCAAGAATACGCGTGCACGTGGAATGCGAGGGACGAGTTGAGATCAAATTTTCCAGGCAAATATATCATGCCGTATCGTCCGCGAGATATAATTATGATTAACGGGCTCGTTCACGAAACGCGAAAGTCGAATTTCGCGTTTTATACTTTGTCGAGCTACCTGAATCGGATGGCATACAAAGTGCGAACGTTTCAGCGCAACGGCGTTCCACATTTGAAAGAAAATATCTTTCAACGTCCATCCGAGAACATTTCGAGTCATTAGTTCTCCAACGCGTTTCAACCAACACAATACACGTTCGTGGACAGTTTGATTATTCTAGACGCTTTTACAATTGCGAAACAATTACTTAACGTTTGACATTACTCCAAATATTATGCTTTCGTAATCACGTTCAGATTCAGCTGTTCAAAAAACGCCCTTTGTTATACAATGTATATTATCACGTATACGACCTTCGCGAGACCCTGAACCACGTTTAAAGTGTACTTTATGCCACCCTAACTGATGTTTCGCACCCTTACCTTCTCAGGTTTCTGTCAGTTCGCCTGCCCAGACGTTCGAACGTGCTTACTTACAAATTCTAACGCCTGTCAGCTTTTTATAACGTCGTTATATTTCTTGCGTTGTAGTTCTTTAATACGGTAGCTCTTGCAAGTGAATGAAAATAAGCAAACAGACGAAAAAAAAAAGACGTTGAAACATTAAAGACATACTGCTGGCTGCGGGGGATATCCGTCGTAGAAACGAAGTGCAATATCGTTACAACGTTATTCGTGAAAGAATGCGACACGATAAAATTTTACGGCAATAGTGTGCAGAGACTGATAAGACCTCCGCGAAACATCAAAGATTTGAATCGAAAAGCATCGTTGCCGGTTTCCTGACGATCTAAATGCTTAATATGCACGAAAACTCCATTGCTTGGCCGATTTTACGACCTTGCTATATCCAGGAAGCTACCGCCGCATAACACGTTCCATCGGTCCGTTGGAACGAAACTGGTTGTCCAGATGCTTAAAAAGCACGCAATAATCGGTCGATTTGATGGCTCATTGAAACCAGTTGTTACATCGTTCTCTGTCGACAACGATTACGGCGATAGGTAAGATTCCTGTCTCGAAATACAAATCGAGTTCCGTCAGAGGAATGCAACGTTGTACACGCGGTTGATCTCTCTAACGATGCGCAGGCCGGACAGTGGTTGAAGAAGAGGCTGATGCGCCTGCTGTGCGTGCATAGTCGATGGTATAGAGTCGAGTTAAACGACGAATTCTTCGGTGGGGCTCGAGCGGAGGAAGTGGTCTGCCAAAATGTTGGCTCTAGTCGTGAGATCGCGTGCGGTTGCCAAGAACTCGTGACCTCCGAAATCGAATCGCGTTCCTCTGTTCGTGAATCGGGGCTCGCGCGGTCAGGTCCTTCCAATTTTTTTTTCAATTTCTTCGAACGACTTTCGTGACTTTCACCGAGCTGAAACTTTCGCGCAAATTGACTCGCGTCGAATCTCGCGTAACGATTCCGAGCTGCCAAGGACACGACCTCCAGCACGTTAGTTCTCGGAGAAAAGTACGACAACGTCGACACACTTTTCGGTAAGCTATCGATGACCAGGTTCGCGGCTACGGGACCACGTGATTCTACAAATTCTGCTAAATAACTTCGTTAATGGAAAGTAGCGTCGATAACGACAAGACGTTGGGGCGCGCTCTTGGACCGTTCGAGCGCGAAAGTTCAGAAGACTTTGACCTACGCTACAGATCGCAAGGACCCTCCAGAACGCCGGAGAACGCGGTGCATTTATTTTTAAACAGAATGCTCGCGATACGTGGCTCGGGGAGTATCGTCGTCGTCACACCACGGGCCGTACTCGATTTCCTGTTGACCTATTTATATCGTACCTAGCCGATGAGAAACGACGCTCTCGTCGAGATTCTCGGCTCGGTTCGATAGCTTCCGATGACACTGACGCGGTCGTCCTCGAGTCGTCCGCGAATGCCCGGCAAATTGCAGGTTTTGCCTCCGACGGAACCGGACCGACTTTCTATCGTCACCAGCGCATTCGGCTACGTGCAAAATTACGCGCGCGCTCGAAAACACTTCCAGGATACGTAGGCTACGTACGTGCGTGTTTGTTAGTCGCGTGGAAAAGAGCACCGAGAGAGATGCAAAGGCGAAACGACGCTACACGGTGCTAGATACGCGAGGATAAGAAAAGCAGCGGTTAACAGTGCCGTGGAGAAGATAGAGAATAAAGAAGACGCAATAGAGGAAGTGGTTGCAGACTAGGGGGAAATTGTGACTTATAGCATCCTTGCAGAACATCGTATCTACGTACGTACCAGCAGAAACCTACTTCTGCGCATTATGGTACATTACGCGGTTCAACCTGTGCGATGTGAAATTCACCTATGATTTAGCGCGAATTTTCCACGTTGACCGTTACGTAACGTTGTTGGATACGAAGGAGAATAATTTCTAGAAATATCGGACAAAAACGGGGAAAAAAGTTGCGCGTCATTTCTTAAGTGCCGTTAGGCTGTTTAAACGATGTAACGTTCCGCTGCGCGTAAAAAGTTCCATAACAGGAATAAATAATCTGTCACGAAAGCAACGAGAAGTTATGCCTAGCACCTGGCTCGGTAGAATGAATACGAAAGGCTTGTGTTCGATGCTCCAGGTGCGTAAAAAGTCGACGAGCTGCAGCCAGCCCTAACCAACATAGATACGAGCAGATGATTTTTCATGAATCGCGTCTAACGAAGCTTCGGAAGAGGGAAGAGCGTGATTTACGCAAATGTGGCCATGATTCCACGTTTCGTTATGTCACAACGTTTTGTTCGCGATGTAAGGCGCAAATCCATCCTTGGATCTTTTACCTCGTGGCAAATGTTTTTGGCTGAGTAGTCACTTTGGTCCGATGCGATATTTCATATTGTCAATTACTTATACATTGTGTACATAAAGTAGTACGACGTGTGCCTCGCTCGCAAACAGTTGTCGCCTTTTTCCTTCGAATTCAAATTTCATTTCAAATTAAATTTAATCACCCGCTAAATTTAATCAACCGCTTGATCGAAGAATAACGTAGGCGAAAAAATATACCGTGTCACTTACTTAAATTGCCTTTAGCATTGATTATTGGACGTACCATATACGGGAAGCTTTCTATATGGTTAATTGCCATTTTCTCCGAGTGGGTACCGTTATTCCAATGACAATTTATCCTACCGTTTACGATGGCGTTGTTAATTCACCTTCCAATGAATATACGAATACTTTCCATGAAAATTTGTGGAGGAAAATTCGTCGAAAGAAACTCAAGTAGGTAAGCAATCGCTGCCAGCTGCTTGAATTTATTTCATCGTTTCGAGCGAATGCTAATTAATTTGCAAAGGTGCAGTCACTGGACCAAAAATCGTGCAATTGTTTACAAATGAAATCGAGGAATTCTATGCACGAAGATCTTAGAGGGAAAAACGTTTGACTGCTCGTTAAAAAACGAGTAACCGCATGGTTACGGATGGAATTAATTTAGAGAGAACGCCTTGGAATTATTGCACGCATTCGTATCTAATCTTCGCTGATGTTAGTCTACTAACAATTGCCAAGATAACGCCGCTGCTCTGTACTGCGAAGCGAGCGACTAAAGCGCGTGATAATACATAATGTATTTAAAAGGTAAAGAAAAAGAAAATGAAATGTAGGGAAAAAGTGACTAAAACGGTGTTATATCAAAGAGAAAACTTTCCTTATCATCATTATGCCTAATTATTATTCGTATTCTAATTGTACATTCCTCGGCGAGAAACGAACCGAGAATATCGTTCCGAGAAAAATATTCGCGATAATGGCTCTATTATGAAACACGTCCGCGCATCGGAAACACGTCGAACGACTCATCGCGATCCTGTTACTTTTCTCCATTTGCTAAAGTACTCGCCGAAACGCAAATCGTAATTTATAGTTTAAACGCGATCCGCGATACTTCTTTATCATCCTTGGATAATCCAAAGTCGATATGGTTATAACGATAAAGCGATACGTGAAACTTGGTCCTACCTTGAACACTTCCGAAAAGAATCCGGCACCGATCTTCTCCATATAAAAGTCATCCAATCGGTTCAACGAGGCAACCGCATGCCTCAACGCCTGGCAGGAAGCACCTGTCCTCCTTTTCGAGCCGGTATCCTGATACGTATCACTAGGACACACATTCAGGTTGCAAATATTGCTTTCCATTTCGGTGGGTCGCCATGGATCACGGCACTTTTCTCGTTCCCTGTAACTTCGGGGCGAAGACTGCAGCTCCGTTGGAAGATCTTGCGGCAAACAGGAAATGCAACTTTGCAACGCGTCGCCGTTGGACTTCATCCAGTCCTTCGACGGTGTGGACGTGGTAAAGTCCCCCCTGCAATTTCGTTGCTCGTAAGCGCCCGACGACGAGGTTGCCGAAACCACCAACTCCATCATATCGTTGTTGGCAGCGTACGATTTCGCGGACGACTTCTGGCAAGATTCATCGGTCGACTGAATCACAGAAATCGCGGTGAAGTCCATCGGTGAGTCACCTAGCTCGCTGTTAGACTCCGAGACGGGTCGACTCTTGCCGTTCGACACCGTATGTCCTGCGTCCGAAGGCTTCGCGGTAGATTGTTTGCTTGCCGCCAATGGTGCAGCCTGCGCGACACTCCTCTGCGTCTCTCTGGAAATAGACTTTCCTGCGGGTAAATGTTGCTCTTTACCAGCGAGAAAATCGCGGTTCGGACCGACGTGCTTTTTCGCCAACTTCGACGAGTCTCTCGAGCCGGAGTCGACGTTCAAACTGCTCAGACTAGTGGAACCAAACACCCTCTGCGATTTCGTGGCACTGGTCGACGCGCAACTCGAAGATTTCCCGTAGCTCGTCGCCTTCGCCACCGTGTGACTTCTTCCGTGGCCAGAAATCTCCTTGGCCGAGTATTTGGAGCAGGAGTTCTTCGCCACCGAGCAGCCAGTCGACTCGGTCCTGCTAGGTCTGTTCACCTCGACGAACGAGATCGACGTTTGGGAAAAATTAGACGTAGAGCTAGGAGTTTGCGAACTACCATATAGATCGACACTTCCCGTATTATTCGAGTCCTTCGAGATTCTCCGTACGTTGGATTTATCATCGATGGAAACTGGCTCCACCGTCAACGAACCGCCGGACTCCTTCGTCGACCTTCGAAGCTTTTTATCGTCGAGACACTCGGAGGACGTGCACGTTTCCTTGCATCTCCTTACTTTCGACTTGTCCTCGATCAAGGTAGCTACATCGGGTACCACGCTAACGTTGCAATTCTCCTTAGATCTCCACGATTTCGTCTTGTCGTCCGTGACAGTCGGATACTCGTTCACAGGGCACGATCCTTCCTTCGCTCTCTTCGGTTTCGAGTTGTCATCGGTGATACAAGGTGGATCGAAGACGACGGAGGAGTTACAGTTCTCCTTCGATCTCCAGAGCTTCTGCTTGTCCTCTATTCCCGTAGAGGGTGCCTCGGAAACTACGGGCATACAGTGGTCTTTCGGCCTCCAAGGTTTCGACTTTTCCTCGGTGAGCGTGGCTGGCGCCTCGTCGACCGAGAAACACGGCAAACACGCGGTTCCACTGGGTCTGGCGCACGACTTGACCAACGTTCCATCGTTCGAAGGCGGTCCAGGTGTGTTGGACGGTGGCACCTTGCCGAACATTTTCGCCGTTATTGTGAAAAGATTGAGCAGCTTGAATCGGGACGGAAGGTCGTCGCCTTTGCGCGCTGCATTACACAGATTATCAGTCTTGTCGATGGACGTGACAACGTCTCTTGATTCGCCGTTCAAACGAACGAGGTCGTCGATTCTCGATCGGGAAGACTCTCGAGGCGACAACGAGCTACGTCCTTGAAGCGGTAGCCCGACATGTCAGGATCAGATTGAAACTTCGGTATGCTACGCTCGTTTCTCTTTCTCTCTTTTGGCAGTGGGATCACGCGTATCGAGGAATCACAGTGGACTAGGACATGATCCTAGCAGGGGACGCAGTGCGGCAGCCAGTCAACGTCGATGAACTCGAGAAGCACGTGGAATATCCGCAGCGGCGAAACTTGGCACATCTCTCTCCTCTTCGAGCGTCCTCGAAACATGGGGAGGAGATTTTGGCTATTCTGGAAGAAATCTGCATCCCACAAGACTAGTCAATACGCTAATCTCTTTCCGTTTTTGCAATTGAAACAATTTCATTCGATTCATTATTTCCCGTTGCAAGTCCAGTTAATGGTGACCGATATCGATGCACTTTTCGATCGCAACAAAACGGTCAGTGAAACGATTATGCACTTACCGATTGTACACGTTCGAACTGTTTCAATTGCAAAAATCTTGATATAATAAATACATATTGAAAGCTGTAAAAATGAAGAGCGGTTTATCAGATTCATCTCTCTGCGAGGATTCGCCGCACTGACCTAGCTCAAACTCGGTGGGAACATACGTACACATAGATATAATGTATATATGCCTATATATATACATATGTATATGAATATATACATTCGCTTCCGTATACGACCGATATAGAGGCGATGTTTTCAAGAATATGTCGTGTATGGAAATTACGCTTGCTATTAAAGTAACTTTTCTCGCAATTCTTCAACGATAAACTAGATGTCTTATTGAAGGAATAGATAACGTGCGAAATACTAGAAATATTTGGCGGTACTCGTACAACGTGGCTCGCAGTGGATACGGCCAAGTTCTCGTGCCCGGGAATGCGAACAGATTTGTTAAATAATGCGGATACCTGTGTGCAGGTTGGCTGAGCATACGCGGTGATACATTACATGGTGCACACGGCGATTTGATTTACAAAGCAGCGCTACTTCTTCTTCCACCAGTTGCGGCAGATGACCGTTTTCACACGCGAGAAATGCAATTTATGATAAAAAGTACACGGTGCAATTACCAGAGGCCAGCTATATTTAATTGGTATATAACACGGCGCTGCGGCCTGGTGCGTTTTTACAGGACAAAAAGTGCTTTCCGACGAACGTCCAGTGTCTCGTTCTAGTTCTAGAAACGCGATACTATCGCTAAAATATCGCTCGGTGAAAATTTTTGTTCGATAAGTAAAGATTCGTAAAACCGATTATTTTCACAGCCAAAAGTACATTTTTTACGTTATCGATATAGCGTTTACATATCGCAATCAAATATACGCATAATTGGATCGCGTAAATGTCCTCGATACTTGATTACGGAATATCGCGATACTTTTTCTCGAGAATACATAGAGTCCGTACTATAATTCGACGACCCTTACGTTAGATCGAAAGAAAAAATACAAAGACAGTAGAAAGCTCGATGCACCGTGTTCCGAATGCATGGAGAGACAGTAATCGGAGCAACATACCTGCGGGAGTGAAAACGATGCGTCCACTGTTTCTCTTGCTTCGAGTCTTACGAAGATGTTAATTTTTTCGAGTCGGAAATTATGGGACAGGTCCTTGAAAAAGACACAACAACGCGAGCGATAACTGAGAAAAGCGCGGTCAGTGTTACTGTCAGTGACGAACACGCTCGGCACACGTTCGATCTCGAAAGTGGCGTGAAATTGCCTGGGCCTGTTGGCAGCGTGGTGTTAGGTTGATTTTAGAAGACCTTGAACTACGTGAGAGAATTCGGGCTCGCGAAGAACAGGACGTCAAATACTATCGACAAATACAGACGAGACGGGAGGCATGACCGAACGGCATCTGCACGCTGTCACTTTTGTTTACTGTCCGAGGATGAACCATCGCTCAATGGAACCTGGCGACTTCGAAATGACGCGACGCAAGCCCACGATACTCGATTGCATATCGTGCGATCACGATCTTCTTATTACTAGTACGATATTTTCTCAATCTAGAACCGTGAACGGTCAGTGAGCCGAGTAAACAGTGGGACACCAGTGCACATCCGATTTGAATTTTCTCGACGGATCGTCTGTTCTCGAGTCACAACATATACATCACTGTACACACTATGCACCAGCGAACACCGCACCTCTCGTCACGTGGATTGCCGCGCACTGAATTTTCTTAAACAATGATGCTATGCGATATTTCGTTTGCGAGACTACAAAAGAGACCGATTCACCGACAACGCCAGACAGCGGCCATTACAGAAATGAACTGCTCCGCCATACGCCGTCTATCGGCAATAGCCGACGTCCCCGCTTATCCCCACCATCTTCCCTCCTAATGAATTGAATGTAAAGACGGGCACGTCTTTCGAATGTGCGCATTCTAAACGCGGAATTTTTTCTTGCTTCTTAGGAACACTTAAATTCGAACAAAACACGCGAGCTTGTGAATAGAATATTAAGCAGGAAAGATTCATCGTAATACAGGCAAAGATCTTATGAAGATACCAATGTTTCCTTGTTCCCTTTCTTTAGCAAACAATACATGGTATGTGACTAACATTAGACGAGCTTATAAGTTTAAAAAGAAAAGATCTTTTCTCTATATATTTTATTATATCATCTAAAAAAAGAAAAAAAGAAGGAACGTGTTTTTTAATAAGGCACCGTATGAATAACTTTTGGTATGAATAACTTTCGTGTAGGAATAGTACTAATATTATGAAAGTAACGCTACACGAATAAGAATAGAGAAATTGTATTACTTGTTCAATGAAAATCTACGAAACAACGATTTCACGGCACGAAATAATTTATGAGAATTTCCATTCCGACCTTACTACCACGATCTCATCTCTATGATACTAAACAACCAGTTTTTGCGAGGCGGAATGAAAGTGTGAGAATTCTCATATGCATACAAGTGTACCTTTCACTGTCTTTCAACAATTTTCAGTTTCTCATACAGCTACTTAAATTTCTACATACCATTCTATTACTCTCGGCGACGCAGCAATTTTGATTTAATTCGTAATTTGTGGAGTTTAAAACGATCAAATTTTGTCTTGTTAATTTTCATTTTAAATCTCAAATTTACTTCTACGATGTGTACTTGTCCAACGATCCAATATAAACTCTTCTCATGAGCTACGAATTTCCCATAAATTTTTAATAAATTTAGAATATTAAAAAATTATTTATGATTTATGAAAGAACGATAATTTAAAAAGAAACACATACGCAATTTGTGATTTTCGAAAGACGAATTAAACGGAAATAATTATATTTATATGGCATGCACTGAATTCGATATGAGCTGCATATTCTTTATTCTTATGTTTCCCAGACTGATTCATAACCTAACTTTAGCGTGTATAGTTACGTGCACGCGTAGATACCTGTGCAAGTGTATATCGTTCATTTAATGAAGCATTTATTTTGTTATTGTATGTAACTATCAAAAATTAGTATTACAAGTTACGAGAATGGCAAAATTCTGTTTGAGTGAGTTTAATAATAAGACTATTTTAATACAATTTATTTATTACATAAGTAGAAGGTTATGTTTATCTTATCTGTTTTAAGAAATATAACCCTTCTTCTGTAGTTAATTATCTTTTTACGTTTATTTAATATCATATTTATTGCAGAGAAACAAAGTAAGCGCATGCCAGCTCGAAAAAGATATAAAATCGAGAAAAAAGTTCGCGAGCACAATCGAAAGTTACGAAAAGAAGCAAAAAAGCATCCTAAACGTAAATATTTGCAACTATACGTTTAAAGCGTTATTTACATTTTAACAATAGTAGTTGTAAAATATATTGATCGTTTGTTTTGATTTTGTAGGAAAACCAAAAGTAATCGAAGTCCCAAATCAATGTCCTTTTAAGGAAGATATTCTTAAGGAAGTAGAGCTTATGAAAAAGCAACATGAAGAAGAAAAACAAAAGCAACGTGAAGCTGCGCGTCAAAGAAAGCGAGAAGAACTTGCCAAAACGGGTCTTCAAGGATTAGTCTCAGCTGCAAAGAATAAACAAATGGAACATCAAGAGATGGAAGTAGATGCTACGCATGAAAAAATAAAAGATGCTTTAGTTAAAGAGGAAAATTCGTTAAAAGCTTATTACAAAGAATTCAGGAAAGTTTTGAAGGCAGCTGATGTTATTCTCGAAGTTGTCGATGCTCGGGATCCTTTGGGGACAAGATGTAAACAGGTATGTCGATGATGATGTTGATTATGAGCATCGATAAGGTATCGAGTAACTGGTTTACGTTATAGGTTGAAGAAGCTGTACTGTCCGCGAAAGAAAATAAAAAATTGGTTATTGTTCTAAATAAGGCAGATTTGGTACCCAGAGAAAATTTAGATCGATGGTTAACGTATTTGCGTGGGAGTTTACCAACTGTGGCATTTAAAGCTTCCACTCAAGACCAAGCTAAAAGATTGGGTAGAAGAAAATTGGGGAAAAAAACTGAAAGCATGATACAAAGCGGTACCTGCTTTGGTGCCGAGTTACTATTGTCACTGCTTGCAAATTATTGTAGAAACGTTGAAAATATTAAAACTAGTATTACAGTTGGAATTGTTGGGCTTCCAAATGTCGGTAAATCTAGCGTTATTAATTCGCTGAAACGTAGTAGAGCGTGCAATGTGGGAAGTACTCCAGGAATAACGAAAGCAATGCAAGTGGTACAATTAGATTCCAAAATAAAATTGCTAGACTCTCCGGGAATAGTCTTTGCTAATTCTGGAGAAAACTCCGACGAATCTTCAGTGGCTCTAAAAAATGCAGTCAAAATTCAATCCTTAAAAGATCCGTACACACCAGCAACTGCTATTTTGAAAAGAGTTTCCAAGCCACAAATAATGGAAATGTATAACATACCTGAATTTTCAACGCCTGATGAATTCTTTGCTTCAAAAGCTACCAGGATGGGGAAATTTAGAAAAGGTGGTATACCTGATATGGCAGCAGCGGCGCGCAGTATTTTGGATGACTGGAACTCTGGAAAAATAAGGTATTTGTGAAATGCTGTATTACATGGTCTATTGGACATATAATAATTCACGTTGCTTCAATAGGTATTATACCGTTCCACCTGAAGAGCCGAATTGTCACCTGTCCGCAGAAATTGTAAGCCAAATGAGTAAAGAATTCGATATCGAACGTTTTGCTGCAGAAGAAAAAATGATGATCGATAATTTCGAAGAAGAAACTGCAAATAAAGAAACTATCGATCCGGTATTAATTGCGAGTTCTGGTCCAGTCGCATCTGCTATGGAGGTTGACTTACAAAAACAAGCGGTAAGTCAGATTTTATACATTTATATATGTAGAAAGCTTTTCTTACTACGATTCTCTTGCCGATTAAGTTACAACGATAATAATTTTTGTAGCAAATTAAGATACAAAACAAACTGAAGAAGAAACTGGAGAAGAAAATGGAGAAATCGAAAAAACAGGTAAACGAATCGAGGAAAAAGAAAATAGATCCGATTTTTGAAATCGAGGGTAATCAGAAATTGAATAAACTTAACAAACTACAATTTAAGAAAGAGAAGAAAGACCGAGCCAGGAGAGGTAAGAACGCGTTTGCTTCTTAGGACATTATCTTATTTAAAGTTAAAAATTAATCTATATCATTATCTGAATTTTTATAGAAAAAGCAACTATTAAATTGGCGGATCAATTGGGAGAATTCAACATTTCAGCATCCGATGATTACGACTTTAATACAGATTTTGTAGAAAAGTAGGCATAAACATGTTTATTCTAAATTTGTATGTAAAATGTAAATAACACGTGATGTATAACAATAAAAAGTATTGTTTTTGTAGAAATATTTATCGACGAAACATCGATTATTGACGAAACATTAAGACGGTAATCTCTTTACTTTCTTCTATTTCTTATTTTCATTACTTTCACTTTTTAACTCTGCTGATTTCGCGTTGCATATTTCTGATAAATTCAAAAATATAATAAGATAATATATATCTATTTCGTGCATTTTATATTTTATTTTCGATTATTTATATATTATCTGTCCTGATTTATCATAAAGTGCATCTAATTTTTTACTTAAATTATTTATTTTAACTTATCATGTAGCAAGATTTGATTGCGCTGTATAAAAGGCTATTGAAAAAAATGCTTGTATCATTTGCCACATCATAAGAGGATGCAATCGAGAAAGAGCAAAGTTGGCAGTGGAACGATAATCAGTGTATACATATGATAACACAACTACCGCATTACACAATTCATCGGTCATTCAGTTAGTAGACTTCAGCAAGGCAACAGTAACAGATGTCAAGTGATTTTTAATAGTTATCTTTCCACGCATTTTTATCGCGTAACCGGCTATTTGTTACAATTTTTCTTCGTGTAATACAGTTTTTGTAAAACAAATATAATGAGTAAGGGCAAGGGATGCGAACCGTCAGTCACATTTCCGATAAAGCCACCTGGCCCACCGAAAGTGTGGAAAATTGTCGAGATTAAAAAAAAGGACGCGGACGTACCGATAAGATTCACCATTCAAGAGGTACCGGAAGACAGGTACGACGAGGTAGTAGAACACATGTGCAAGTATTTCATTGCCGACGAGCCCATGTGTAAATGCATCAGTAAGTTTGTTTTATTCTTCTACACATTATCGAATTTTAATGTCAATGTTGCGGCGAAAAGTCATTGAAATGAATTTATGTCAAGGGCAAAAAATATTATGATAACACGGTGAAACACATTACAGATAATAATATGACTGAAAAAATATCCTCATGTAACATCGCCATTCATTTATGTGACGAAGCAAAAAAGCCACACAATACTAACGTTTTTATTTAATTATACATTCGATAAGGAATCTTGGGAATGCCGTAACATTTTGCATAAGGCAACATGTTATGAAAAACATGAAACAACAAAATTTTTTTTACAAATTTTTAAGTACTTTTCGTATCATTCGTTTATAGAAACTCAAAGATATAGATCAAATACAGTGTGAAATACACAGATCAGTTTGTTGGTGTAAAATTTACATACACGTTGATTAATGCAAGCAAACACCATACAACTTTTTTGCCTTGTTGCTCTTCTTTTTTTCTGTTTTGTCACGTTTCAGCTCCTTGTTTTATCGTCCGTTTCAAAATCGTCCCGGTGCGACGTTTCCTTTAATTCTCTTTCAATTCAACGGTGTTTCTTTTATAGTTAGTTTCCATTCTTTTATACATCAAAACGTTTGATCACAGTTCATCGTATGTACGTCTATGTCGAATAGTATTTACGTGAAAGGAGGAATAAGATTTTCGAGATGTGCAGGAAGCGGAAAACATTTTAATTTCTCTGTTTCTATAGACGGGATAAACGATCCTGAATACGTGGAAACATTTCGATGTCTTTGGAACGAATTTATAAAATGTGGTTTGTCCATCGTAGCGTTTGTAGAGAATCCAGATGGCGGGAAACCTATAATCGCAGGAGCTAATATACTTACGTTATCTTTCAAGGATGAGAAGTTCGACATTGAGAAAATTAAGGTAATTGTGACTCACTTCTTGCGATCGATAAGAATGAGTAACGTTAATATTTGTATATGCTTCTTTGACGGGGCATTGAACGTAAATGTTAAATAACTTCTAGTCGGAGAAGGGGAATGCCGTGATGGATGCTGTGATAAGATTGAGCAAAGAAGCAAATGTGTTTGAAAAATACGGGGTGAATAAATATATGAACGCCTTTGGCCTTTCCGTAAATCCAAAGTATCGAGGAGCCTCTCTAGGTGCTCATCTTCTTAATGCCAGGTACAAAAGTTCAACCATTCCCTTTGACGTTTTCCAATATCTTCCTTGCCTTCTCTATTACTCACTGCTTTTGACGTATATAATTTGCTTTCTATGCGTTACTTTTTAGTTTAGTTTAGTTTTATCTCGTTTGTAACATCTAAATAAATAATTTTTGTTTAGGGTGGAAGCAGGTCGAGAATACGACATTCCGGTAACAGTCACGGCATTTACCTCGCCGATTTCGCAGAAATTGGCCGAACGATGCGGCTTTGAAACCCTGATTGAAAGAAATTACGACCAATTTGTGGATAAAAAGGGAAATTTAATGTTTCCAGGAATCGAATCGAAATCCATGAAAGTAATGGGCAAGAGGCTCATTTAACATAAACGACATATTACAAATTGAATTAAAAATATGATATCTAGTAGTTTAATACCAATTAGTAAGTATTAAGATAGGAATAGCGACAAAAATAAATGGAAGAAATGGGAACCCTTGTAATCTGTAAGGTAAACAATAAAGATATCCTAACATTGTGCAAGATATGAGTAACGAAGCAACACTGTCCTCTTCCGGGCAGCAAGCAAGGGGGATAAAACGAGTAAATTAACTGACAATAGGACAAACGATCTCAATTTGCACCAGCGGAAAGCTTTATTCTGCCGTTTGCTACGTGTTAAGTAATACAGCGAAAACGAATACAATTTTCTACTTCGTTGCTGAAATCGCAGATTTGCGGGAAGTTTGTAAGTGGTAAGAAGAAAGAAAAAAGAAGGAAAAAGAAGGAAACAGATTCGCACGCGACTTATCAAAGTTAACGAAAAACGCGTTGACGAGGCGAGCGACATTTAAAAAAGTCCTTTGTCGTTCGTTCGAAGTACGGGGCCTTTGTCAGATACGACACGTACCGAATTTCAATAGTTAAGCTATGCGCACCCATGGCTAACTGTTTTATCATCGTTGCACACCGATATGCGGGTGAACGCACTTCCGCCTATTCCGATAAGCAGCGATATTCGAATGCATCCGAAATACGCGTTACGAAATTTGAGCGACGCAGTCTCGTGTTTCGGATATAGGGGCCACGGGTACCTACCTAATTCGATACATGTTCATTAACGGGATTGTCGTTCAACGCTCGATCGACATCTATCGCGATAATTAACGGCTAGCAAATAGTCATTTTCCAACCTCGTCGATCCACCGTTCTCTCTACTTACTCCACTCTGTGCGCATCCGTCGAGACGCACTTCCTCCTCGACCTACGCCCTTTCCTATTCCCGATCCTGTAGGTAATGCACAACGCGGAGTCGATAATCTTGACAAATGGATGTTTGCAGCGTGGGACTGCGGAACATTGGTTCCCTGATACTGCGAATGTCAGGTTCCATCGAGCCACGGTTGATCGTTGCGCCTCGAGTACGAACGTTTTGTACGCGTTGCCGATAAATTCTCTTTGAGACGGAAATTGAAAGGAACGGAGCCGGATCGTCGTACAATGTTTTAAGAGCCACGCGTGTTCCGACTATATGCAATTGAACAAACATCGGAACATCTGTTGGGATATTTATGGATTCCTGCTGTGAAACTGTAAACTTTCGATGAATTGTCGTATCATGGGGCAAGAGAAAGAGAAAGGGAGAGAAAGGAAGAAAAAGAGCGTCTGTTTGTATCGTAAATCGTACCTAAAACTTTGAAAACTCTTTTCAAATTTGTGAAATTTCTACATAGACGTATAACATCCAATTTCTGTAACCGTTGCAAATCGATGAGAATTTCAAAAATGAAATTCGTTGATTGGTAATTACTTCTTCACCTACGCATTCTCCGTCGTGCCACATGAATACAAATTTCAAGAGACTTTTTGGGATTACGCGCGACGGTAGTTGGGTGGTCTACGTCCCGACAGGATTTCGTCGCGCATGCGTACGTTGCTCGCAAACTCCTACTCGCGTACAGCATCGTCTACGAAGATGGAAGTTGGAGCGTAGAGTCGCCGCGAATTTGTCGGCCGCCTCAGTCGCGTTCGGCGCGTCGTACGAGCAAGTGCGTTCTCGTTCGTTCTCGCCCTGTTTCCGTAACCCTCGCAGTTTTTCTCTCGATCCTCTTCCGCTTCCTACTTCTCGATCTACTTCGTCGAAGCTTTATCTTCTTTCCCGCGATCTTTACACAGTCGCCGATCGAAACGAAACGGCAATCCGCGAAACAACGTAACCAGAAGGATAATCAAAGATGAATCGCATTTAAAAGATCGACATAAGGATTTTCGTCGAAGGTGAAAAAACCATTGCAAACCGCCGTTTTGCTGTCTTGCTTCTTTCTTTCTTCACTCTCGGAGATTGTACGAAATCGTTCGTACGGGATAATCGTAGTGGTAGCGTTGAAAATGCCTCTCCTTTCGTTTCTTGGAATAATAAATACGGATTTCTTGTATCCGTCGAGATTGAAAAGTCAATCACATCCATGTAACTCGATGCGCATTATTTTTCTTCTGCGAATCTTCCATGTGAAGCTGATACAAATACCAAGGCGGGGGTAGTTCTTTCATCGCGATGATCAGATAGATACTCGGCATCGTTTGAATCGGAATTTAGTCCAGATTAAATGAAATTGGCAGCTGACTTTCATTCAGAAATACAAAGTTGCGAGTCCTATTTTCGATCGAAGTATTCGACGACCGAAATCTTGGAAATAGCGTCGATGCGAATTAATTTTCTCAACGAGGATCTTTCGTACGTTTAGATTTCAAGAGAGAGGCAACCGTGTGTTCCGAATGATGTGTAATGTACCGCTGAGAGGTAACGTCCATAATATTTCTTTCGCGACAGACCCGATCGACGAGCACAAAAGTAAAAGAACGTAACCTGTTGCGGAATGGATTGCCAACACGCCGTCGTTGTTTGCAAGTACGATACCGTGCATGTAGGATTCTCAAGCGCGAATGTTTTTTAAGTTGCTTAAAGAAAAGGGAAACAATTGGGAAATAATTCGAGGACGAAGAAGAGTATTGATCGATCAAACAAGGATCAGCCATTTATCAATCGGGCTATTTCATTTCAGCATTTGGGGACAAATGCTTTTTGCTGCAAATAGAACTTTTATTCGTCGATTATTTCACCGTTTCTTAGCGTAAAAAAAAAAAAGAAAAGACGGAACTAAGAATATCGTGACTCCGTAAAAGCACCAAATTTATTCTGGGTTCGTTCTGAAAATTTAGCAATGACATATGAGGGTAAATTCGATAATGAGCGAATGTGACCGATCGGACACCGATTCCTTGCAGATAATAACGGATTCGATGAGACGAAATGTCATTCATATCTGGATGCTTAATTACAAAAAGGAAGGAGGAAAAATGCTAAAATAAGACTGAAAAAATAAAGGCCTCGTTGAAATATTTTATTTCCATCGAATTTATCGCTCGATTTGATTTGTTTCCTCCATTGCCAGACTTTCGGACACGCGGTTCGATGACGTAAATGAAGAAGAATAAATGAAATTTTTTAATAAACTCGCCACAATGTCGTATCTGTTTTTTTTTTTTTTTTTTTTTTTTTTTTTTTTTTTTTTTGCCACATCCGAATTCGAAACGTCCGTGCAAACGAGAAAATATATACGATATGTAGATCGAGCAGCGTCGCTCGTAATTGCGAAAAAATAGACATTCAATTTATAGTGTGCCGCTGCTTTGTAAAAATATTACGAATATCGAATATTTTGATGGAAACAAAGAGGGCAGAAATATCAACGACCACTGAATACAGTTGTATAAAAATTGGAACAACCATTGAAAAGAGTACCTCCGTTTTGTTACCAATAATGAACAGTAAATTAATGAAACTGTTCTATTTTTAATTTATCGTAGTTTTTCGAGTATCTCGAGAGCGTCCGAAAGTCTAATTTTGTACGGTGATATAGGAGCATCGGCAAACATTTTTTTTTTTTTTTTTTTTTTTGTTTCGTTCACATCCGTAATTGCGAATCGTGCAATCGGACTTTTTTCAATTAGTTTCGCTACGATACCTACTGTTTGTTTTTCTTGTTTGTTTATGGGATTGCCTATGGTATGTCATATCGATCTTTGCAGTTGTGAGATTATTTCTAGTGGAAAATTGATTACACTTCGAAGATCAAAGTTGTCGGAAGTTTAGTCTGTAATCTTTGTCACTTCCTTAATAGGAATTCTAATGAAGATACTCCTGTTCGTCCTTGAACACTCGTATTTCGGGAAAATGTTCATATTCATAAGAGAGATATAGCTGTCAAGGAAATCATTCGTCGAATGTTTGCGTTCATGAATATCGTCGTAATTACAGTCGAAGTGAAAAGCTTCGCAATAGAATAACCAGGTTCGTAAAGAAAAAAAAAATTAATTTCAAAGATAATTATTTTACTTTTTGGTTCGGTTTCGTTTTAACGTTTAATAATTTTGCTATTCGTTGTATAGCTTCGAGTAAAATGTCAATGGGCGTGTAAAAAGAGATCAACAACGAATACTTCAAAAGTTTTCAACCAACATCGCCCACACGCAGAAACAAATAGACACATTATTTAATTGGATGAAATGTCGACGCTAACCAGGTTCGAATTTTATATCTTCGTTAACTTTCATGTTGACCGAACAAAAGCAGACAGAGTATAAACTACTAAATATCGCGACGAGGAGAATTTTGCAATGTGTAGTCTAGTTTTGGTATAGACAGATTTAAGTAGATTGCATTTAGAATAAAAGATTGTCCCCTGAATATCATCGAGAGCGCGTGTTAATCTACCTTCACACGGTCACTCCGAGGATATGGCGATTAAGGGGCGGTCGCTCCATCAGAATATACAAAGATACTCTTTTATAACAAACCTTGCTCTCTGCCAGGATAATTCTTTTACGGATAAGCTGGCGATGAATTTGAGTAAAAGTGACCGTGAAATCGCAGTAGCCCAAGAAGCGGGATTCTTACGCTCGAGTACGTTCAAATGGAACATGGTTGCTCAGATTTGTTCATTCGTCGGCCTCCAAAGAGCATCCTCTAGTTCTATCGCATCATCGTCCGATTCCACGGCTACTTACGACCCTTTCTTCTATCGGCCGCTTCTCAAAGCTCGCAGAAAGATCGCTCGAGACGCAACTGGCATAACGAAATGCTTCCACGTAAGAAGAAAACGTTACTTCTAACGGGGCAGCTTCTTCTTCCGCATATTTTGATTTTTAAGGTTCGCATTTGCAACCGGTCACGTTGCGACCCTTCGCAATGATTTACGATCTCGGTATCATCACAGTAATACATCACGTATTTTATCCACGATCCAACCGAGTTTCAAGTTCCTTATCTTCGTCTCAGACAGTAGCAATATCAATTAACAGAGTCCCGAACGAGAGAGATTCGATACGAACGTTTGATCGTTCGACGGATACGATATGTCATTAGGAAAAGAATCGATCGTCCTCTTTCATTTCCTTGGAATTCTCATTCCAGTCCCTCTCTGTAGAAACGCAAAGGTATTCTAATGCTTCTAATTTGTACGGCTTTAGACGAGTAGAACGGT